AGAGATGATAGAGGTATTCCTTTAGCTACCTAACACAGCTTTCCATTGGCTCAGTCATGAGTGCTGGCCTAGAGACAGGGGTTATGGGGCTCTGCCTGGCACTGGATTCACCATGCTAAGCCTGGTACTGAGTTTCAAGTCTAAGGCTTAATGAGCAGCAACTGCTTTTCACGTGGCTACACAAGTTCACACCACTGCTAACAGCGCACAACATACAAGGTTTCCAGCTTCTCTGCCCCCTCGCCTACACTTGTTATTTTCCATTTTTAAATTACAGTCATACTAGTAGATGTGAAGTGATAGTTCATTATGGTTTTGATTTTTGTGTTTTGTTTTGACAGGGTCTCCTATAACCCCAGCCTGCCTGAAACTCAGTATGTAGACCAGACTGGCCTCAATCTCACAGAGATCCACCTGTCTCTGCCTCCTGAGTCTGGGGATCAAAGGTGCACACTACCACACCCAGCATCTCATTGTGGTTTTGAATTGTATTTCTCTGATAGTGAAGCTGAGTGTCTTTTCATAGTTGGTCATCTACATGCTATCTTTTAAGAAATTTCTATTCAAGTCCTTTGACCATTTTTAAACATGATTGTCTTTCTGCTATTGAGTTTGAGGGAGTTCTTTATATATTCTGCATATTGTTGAAGCCATTTTATAACAGCAGCTTTAAAATTTCCCTCATGTAATTCCAACCTGTTTTCCTTGGCATCTGTTGATTGCCTTTTCTCACTCAAGTAGTAACTGAAGTAGGTTCCAGTACCTATTAAGAAATAATTTTCAAAGCCAGGCATCACAGTATATGCCTGTAATTCCAGCACTCAGGAGGTAGAGGCAGGTAGATCTCTGTGAGATTCAGGCCAGTCTGGTGTACAAAGTGAGTTCCAGGCCAGCCGGGGGTACAGGGAGACCATCTCAAAAAGATGGAAGGAAGGGAGGGAGGAAGGGAGGGAGGGAGGGAGGGAAGAAGGAAGGAAGGAAGGAAGGAAGGAAGGAAGGAAGGAAGGAAGGAAGGAAGATCCTGATATGGATTTCATGTCCTAAGTGGACCCTGATTAATATAATCCATATACAGTCTGGGGTAGTAATAAAGCTTTGGGTATGACTATGAATGTGGTAAGGTATATGGAAGGGATAATCTTTGAAAATGAAGATGTCAACAAGAAGAGAAATTAAAGAGATGTAAAGGCCATCTATATCAAAGTTGAAATTACAGAAAAGGATAGAGACCATGTTTCAGGAGTTCACTGGGCCAGGCCAGAACCTTCACCACATTATGCTCATGACCACAAGGTACTTTCATGAACGATACAAGGAGCTCTATCAAAACACTAAGTTCTGGGGGATGGAGAGACTGTTCAGTGGTTAAGAGCACTGGCTGCTCTTGCAGAGGGCCCAGGCTCAGTTCCCAGAACCCATACAGTGGCTAACAACCATTGGTAACTAGTTCCAGGAGAGCTGATGTTCTTTTCTGGTCTTGCATGGACATTGTATTCACATGGTTTGTATACACACACACACACACACACACACACACACACACACACACACACAAAGCCAGAACATTCTTACACATACAATAAAAATAGACAAATAAATAAAAATTCTAACAACCACTCAGTTCTAATGAATTATGTCAAGAATCCCAGTTTGGGGTCCGGAAATCAAGGTTAATCCTTCCTATGCCCATTCTAGCCTTATGACCCAAACAATTCTTTTCTTTTCTTTGAACCCACATAACTCCTCTGTGAAATCACATGTTCACTTTTCTGTTTGCCTCACTGAATGACTGTGATGGGACTTTGTGCTCAACATATACACTAACATATTCATGGTAGAAAGGAAGCCTTTCTACTTCCTAAGGTACCCAGGAACATACATTCTATAGCAAAGCATTCTTTTCTGTTCCTGCTCAGATCCAAGTATCCCTTTGTTTCTCTTTGGACCACTGCTACATCCTGATACCCAGCTCCTTAAAAATCCTTTCCAAAACATTATCTTTCTAAAACAATGAGTTGGGCTGGAGTGTGGCTTAGTGAAAATGTGTTTCCCTGGTCTGCACAAGGCCCTGACTTTTCTCTCCAGCACTGTAAAATTAAACAACACAAAATGTGTTTTTAAAAGTCAAGCTGGGGAAATGGAGAGATGGTTCAGCAGTTAAAAGCACTGGCTGCTCTTGTAGAGGACCCAGGTTTAGTTACCAGTACCCAAATAGCAGCTAACAATGGTTCAGTTCCTGGAGATCTGATGCCCTCTCTGGCTTCCATTGGGCATTGCACAACATGGGCACACAAACATGCAGGCAAAATACTCATACACATAAAATAAATATAAATGAAAAATTTTTTTTTTAAAAACACAAGCTGAGCTGGGTGTGGTGGCATATGCCTTTAATCCCAGCACTCTAGAGGCAGAGGCAGGTGGATCTCTGTGAGTTCAATGCCAGCCTGGTCTACAAAGTAAGTTCCAGGCCAGTTGGAAATACAGGGAGACCCTGTCTCAAAAAGACCCAAAACAAACAAACAAACAAAACCCACAAGCTGGACATGATGGTATACACCTGTAATCCCAGTACTTGGAGGTAGAGGCAAGTACCTCAAAGTCATCCTAGGCTACATGATGCCCTGCTTCCAAAAGCAAAAACACAAATACAGGGATGGTGAGATGGCTCAAGGGGCAAAAGTTTGATCCCTGGGACCCATATGATAGAAAGAGGGAACAGACTCCTGAAAAGCAGTCCCTCTGACCTTTACACACACACACACACACACACACACACACACACACACGCACGCACGTACGCACGCACGCACACACACACCAAACAAACCAACCAACAAACAAATAATAGTGTAATAAAAATTTTAAAACAAACACAAAGAAACAAACAGAAACAAATGAGGTCAGCTGCCCTCTCACACCTCTCATGACTTTCCATTGCACATTTCTAGATCCGTGAGCCAGCCTCGGGCAGTCTTACAACCATCTCTCTTCCTCATCTAGCCCTTTCCTGTCCCTAAAGCAGCATATTACTTCTGGCATTCATGTAGGTTGGTTTGGTAATATATAGATTTGTTAGTGTTAACATTAAGATGCCTTTGAACTCTACACTTTGGTCATTTGTGACCGTTTGTGTTCCTGGCCCTCTGCTGCATGAGGAGCTTCATTACTGAGAACTGATTCCTTAGTGTCCTCTTCTTTATCCCTGTTCTATGTTCCATGAGCTTTAGGTGTAGAGGTTGCATTGCAGATGTGTCACTTGGGCCTGGGAAATTCATAGACAATGTCCGTGTGTGACCAGTTGTGGTACTTGGTATTAGTCTCTGACTGCTGTAAAATGAGCTTCTTTGATGAGTGGTGACTTGGATATTTGTCTGTAAATTAAGGATTCATATTTTGCACATAGTAGAAATCATGTTAGTCTAGCAATGGGAGAGTTTGGGGGTTTTCTTTAAGATCTATGACCACTCCGGCCATGTGTATTAGGTTATGTTACAGTACCACATTTGAGTTTCCTCCCTTTCAGTGGACTTTTAGTCAAATTAGGTAGCTGTTGATTGCCCCCAAGATAAAAATGCCAGTACTGTGCCAATGGAGTATGCTGTGCTGGCTGTTGATGTGGTTATTTGTCTTGAAGCTGGTGCTGGATCATCCCTTGATGTTTTCCCTTGGCACTTTCACAGCACTCTCCAAAGCTATGAGAGCTCGCCCTCAGGGGAAGTGGCTTCCAGGTCAGTTGCAGCTCTATTTCTCCAAATCCTGTGTCCAATGTATGTCCTATCTTCGGCAGTAGGATCTTGCCTTCAAGTTCTGGGAGGCTATCAATAATGGTCCTTGGACAGGACCCTTTTATTAAACTTCATCCACCCAAGGCTCAGGGCATCGTGGAGAGATTTTAAGAGCCAGGGAGGATGTGCATGACCGTATGGAAACAGTCCTACAAGCTCCTTGGTACCTGCTCATGATTCTATGGCATAGGTGTCAGCATACACAAGTCCAATGCAAACTCAGGCAGACAGTAACCCAGCATAGAACAGGGAAAATGAACAGTAGACCCCTAATCTTATCTGAAGGAATGTTGGAAACTGATTGCTGCTAGATGAAGAAGAGCTGATCTTCCTAAAACAAGGGACTCTAGATAGGCTGACTAGACTCAGCAGATGGATTTGCACTGGGGAACGGTTGAGGCCACTGACAACACAGTGGGCAGTAACAGGGATGACAGAGTATATGGGCTCCAGTTGGGGGCAGGGGAGGATATGAGGAGGGTGCCAGTAGGGACGGGGGTATAAAGATGATTAAGATTGTTTGAGATGTTCTGTATGAAATAACACACACAAAAAAAAATCAACTAAAAAAAAAGCTGATGTCTTTGTCTGGAATGTTGTCCTTTTCCCACCCCCACTACCCATCTCTGGTTGGTAAAATAATACATTTATGTCAAGGCTAACTCAAACATAATTGAGTATATACATATTTTTTTCTTTTTTTCACAGAATAGAAGGTAATGTTTTCCTCCACTGAGGTTCCTCTGCACTTGACCTATTTTTCTCTAAAAAGCTTTGATCACAGATGGCCTTTTCTGTGGTCATCTATAACTATGCTATGTCTCCTTTACTAGCTGGAAACATCTCTTAAGCATGATTATATCTCATTCAATTGCATCTCCTCAGCACTCGACAGAAGGCATAGAATATAGCACGTATCTCAAGAATATTATTAAGAAAATTGCCAAAGTAGTACACAGGGTTAAAGGTGTAAGCATGATTTGTGCTGGGGACAAATTCGAATTACATGTGGTTTATGAGCCTGTAGTTGAGAACATGGAGGTATGTCTCATAGGGGAGATGTGGTTCATATATGTGGCATATGCAAATGTGTCATATGAACATAGGAAAAACTGTTTAGGGCTTATCCTCTCTAAACCTTGGGCCAACCTGGTCTTTTCTCGACATTCGATTATCCCCTCTTGCCCTCCACCCTAGTCCCTACTTTCCTACCTTAAATATACATCTGTTTCCAGCCCGAAGGCATCATGTTCAACAGCCTTCTCAAAGGACATCATGGTATTCTCTGGCGCCAGCTATGGAAGACAGGGACATCAAGCCCTATGCCTCAGAGTCTTACCTCCCAACATTCCTCTTATGGTAAGCATAGAGCCCAGGAATAAAAGGGCTTTAGGAAGCAGAGCTTGGTTCCCTGAGCTCTCTTCAAACGTCTATCTTTATTTCAAACCTCTGTCTAATCAAATACTGGGCACAGTAAAGAGAAGCTGACTGGGAGTTCAATGATCTGAGTTCAAATCCAGCCTATACAATTAACTCCTTATTCCTGCCACGTCAGGATTCCCTTTCCTCTCCTGGGGCTCCTATGGTTCTGAGGTTCCCTTCTCTCATCCATATGCCCCATACATACCTGCTCTCATCCATGCTCATTATGCTCAGACCTACCATGGGTGCACCTCTATGTCCAAAGAAGCCAGGCTTAGGCCCTAACTTGTTCTTATCCTGAATGCAGGGAGAATAAATCCCCAGTGGCATCAAATAGAGACATAAAAGGATAATAAAAAAGGGCAATCCAGCAGCCATTTGTAGAGCTGAAAAAGTTGGAAGGAGAAGAAAATAGATAAAAAGGAAGGCACGATGGAAAACTATTTCAAACATCTAAGTACCACAAAGCAGCAGTCAGTCCATGATGTACTTTCTATTTCTGTCATATCCTCACTTACTTTCAGGGGTCTGGGTATAAATATACAGGATTGTCCAGATATAAGACTTTCTTATTGGTATTTCTGCAGTGCTGGGGTCTTTGTGTATGTTAGGCAAGTGCTCTACCACAGACCTATATCTCAGCCAAAGACATAGAACAATATTACTGGAACTGGAAAGTAAAGACAGAAAGAACTGTACAGAAGGCAGGTGGGAGGAAGGAAGAAAGAAAGGTGGGGAAGGAGAGAGGACAGGAGGGGGAAGGAAATATAAGGCACAGCTTCTCAGGAAGATGAGCTTGGTTAGCTCTGAAAGAGCCCTGAAGACTGTAAAGATCACCCTAAGAAACTCTTTCATATAGGGCAAAGCAATACAGTGGGAAAAAGGTACTGACCAAAATCTGAGTTTAAGACCAGGCTCTATCACTTCCTAACTATAACTAACAATGTGTGACTTGATCTCTCTGGGTCTTCATTTTCTTCTGTAAAACAGGGCTGTCTGGATGGTAACATTCACCTCACAAAATTGTCACAACAGTGTTGATTCATAGTTACTCAATAAATAGTAGTAGTTATTTACTTCCTTCCCTCCTTTCTCTTTTCTATACACCTACACCCATACCCACCTCCCCCACACCACAGGCTACCCATAATTCCCATTATCCTATTTCCCAATGATTTTACCCATTTGTACATTTTGAAGTTATTGCCTATGCTTCAGTGACTTTAATGAAGGTTTTCAGCTCTAACCTTTTAACCTCGTGAATATATTACACCTCTCAAGGATCTCATTCTCATAATCTGCCATCCTGTATCTTCTTATTCTGACTAAAAATTAGAAAGTAAAAAAGAAAACAGTTTATTATTGTTTCCTTTAAGCTCTTGTCTTAGAAATAGTGTCTAAAATTTACTCTACACACACACACACACACACACACACACACACACACCCCAGCAAAACTATCAAACCAGCCCTTCTCTCGTCTGTACCACCCACACCAAGTCAGGAAGCAAATACCCTTTATTTGACCAATTGGACAAAGGAACATCTCCCTTCTACAAAGGAAGAAGAACATATTGCTTTCTCAGTAAGGGTGGTAAGACATAATCCCACTCTCAAAGCAGTTCAGCACACAGATCCCATTCTCTTTTATTTGCTGGGAAAGAAGAGAGAGGAATCAGTGGCAGAGGCAGTTCCCCTGCTTTGGCTATAAAGTTGTAGGTATGTCACAGACTCACAGGGGACTTCTTTGAGCTACTTGGATGTAACCAGGGAACCCTGGACATAGTACTAGTTGAAATTAGAGATATTTGTGTACGAACTATCTTACATAAAATGGCCTCTGCTGCCCCCATCTGATCCAGATAAATGATGTGTAATAACAGAGAAAAACTCATGTTTTTCTAGAGGAATACTTCTAGAAGAAGGCTGTTTTTGTTATAGAAATACTTTGACAGGCAACATGAGTGGTGAGAGCACAAAGAACACGCCCATGCAAGAAGCTAAATAAATATCAAGGAGGTTCAGGGGTGGCCTGCTATCAAATTTCTGTTTTTCTGAGTGGAGTTTGTAAGCTAAATTTGGAGCTGAGGGGATCAGGCAAGGTTCCACCTCTCATGACATACCTTCTGATTCCAAATGGGCAAAACAGACAGCTAGAGGCCAGGAAATGATTATCATCACAGTTAAGAGGATCAGGTGCACGAAGGGAGCATAAATCTGGGAGAGAGCCAAAAGTCAGACTAGACACATCTGGGCATAGTGATAAGAATGACAGGATGATGCTTACCTGCAGTGAAAGCCCAGCAATCAGCAACTTGTCTCTCCAGAATTTGCTTAAAATATATATTAAAAAGGAGCACAGCAGAATTGTTAACACAATGATGACCTGGGGAAATAGAAAGGACTTTTTGACTTCCGGATACTAGGTTCCAATCAGAACTGCCCTTATGATTTCTTTGCAACTATTTACAATATCAGGAACTTTATCTTTTAAATCTAAGCACCCAATCAGAACTGCCCTTATGATTTCTTTGCAACTATTTACAATATCAGGAACTTTATCTTTTAAATCTAAGCACCCTGAAAATTTCCATAACTCCAGTTTCAGTGGACCTGACACCCTCTTCTGGCCTCCATGGGCATTGTATGACATGGGTACACTTATGGGCATTGTATGACATGGGTACACTTATGGACATGCAGGCAAAACATTCATATACATAAAATAAAAAAATTTTAAGAAGGCAACTTTCTTAATTTCTTTCTCTTCAAATTTAAGTCTTTCTACATCTGTGTTGCTTTCCAGACAGTTCTCTCCATCTATCCAGTCTCTTTATTTTATTTTGTATTTTTTTTATTTTTTGGTCTTTTTGAGGCAGGGTCTCCCTGTAGCCCCAGCTGGCCTGGAACTCACTATGTAGACCAGGCTGGCCCTGAACTCATAGGAATCCACTTGCCTCTGCCTGCCAAGTGCTGGGATTAAAGGTATGTGCCACCATACCCGGCTATATAGTCTCTTTAAAGTAAACCCACAACCATCTCACAAACTAGCTCATTTCTGAATTTAGTAACACATTCTATCAAACATTAAAAGAAGTATCTCCAATCTTCTATAACTCTAGCAGAGACTAGAAGAGAACAGTTTCTCACTCACTTTATGAAACCACCAAGACAGTTCCACTTACATTCAATAAGGACATTACAATAGAGAAATATAGGTCAAGCTCTCTTATGTAGATAAATGCAAAAAATGTTAGCCTATTACCAAACTAAATGCATTATAACACAAAAATTGAATTGTCAAATTCCTATCTTACCTGACACCAAACTTTACAAAAGATTTAAATGATACAAGCAACAATAAGGTACAAATACAATATTTTCACTAGGAAAGTCTGGTCACTACTCAGGAAGGTCTTTCCTCTCCTGGATCACTAATGTGTTCAGATTTTGAACTTCAAATGTGAGGCGTGTTTTGAGCCAAGTGCATAGAAATGCTGCTTCACAGCAGGAGTCATTTTGCATACAGAGCATTCTGTCTATCACTCCATTAATTATACAACTGCAGACAGTCCTGTTTGCCACCACAGAAACCTGTATGTTCCAGGCTGACTTATAGTAAAAGCAACTGGGGCACATTAGATCTATTCTGTTGGGAAATTCCATAGCCAGGCATGGTGGTGCCACACACCTTTGAACCCAGCAGCATTTTCCTTCCACAAATTGGAGCTTAGCTGGGTGTGGTCTTGCACTGGAGGCACTTTTTCCATTGTTTAAGTGCAAATCTCTAGGTCTCTTCTTAATCACTTTAATCTCCTTATTTATCAAAGGGATCCTCTCCTTCAGCACATGCCTTGGCTCCAACATTAATTTCCTGGTCAAAAATTTATTGAGAAAGGGTTGCAAGAATAGTATTTATAATCAGCTAATCCATCCCCTATGATGTTTTTTGCAGGTCTCAAGGAGCTGAGAAATACACTGGTGAGGGAAGCATCAGTCTCAGTATTCTTGAAAAGCATGGTAGTGGTGGTCTCCTAGGCTGGAATAAAGGTGAGTGAGACTGCTTTTTTGATTTCAAAGATGATGAGATCTTGCTGGGCAGAAGCCAAGTAGCTGTACTTAACTGGCTCGGGCAATATAAGCGAAATTTGTAGAATAGGTACAAGATCAGAATGGTAATCAGAGTGGTTTAGGTCATGAGGTTGACCTCTTCTTAGTTAGAATCCCTTTGAAATGACACCAGCATGGCTTCTCACAGAGGGCCATATCTGGTCCCCAGAGAACAGGCAACCTACTCCACTATCTGTGGATCAACAGCATACTTCCAACATAGCATTTTACTTTGACCTGCCATTGGCCTGATCAGCTCTATTAACACACTCTTGCTTCTTTACAGACCTTTTCAGGCACAGTTGTGACATCACACTAAGATTTCCCCAAACCTGGGAACACATCAAATTCTCTTGGTAGTAATTAATTTACATGGTGTCTCAAGTCTAAAACAGATAGCATTAGTAATAAGTGCCCCCCTTTTTTGCTTTTCGGTATACATTCTTCCCCTGGAAGATCTCATGACTCCAATTCCTATGTATTTTATTAAGGCTGGAGTTTATATTCCCAACTTGAACTTCTCATTTGAGTAAGAGGAGATATAAGGATGAAAGTCACAGAACTTGACATGTTCCCAGATTTGGATTATTACAGTGAACTAAAAGTGTTAATGACTGAAATGAGAACGCTCTTGTGAGCAAAAGGCATTGGGAAGTAGGAAATTTGCCTAAGATTTCATTGGGCTAGGAGGAATTGGAGAGTGTAACATGAAATAGTGAGAATAAAGTTTGGGTTGTTAGGCTCAGCAACTTCAGTGATTCAGTTATAACTGTCCTGAATTTAATTATGTGTCTAGGGAATGAAGAAAGGTAACTGCATGTGTAGCACTGCACACTGAGAAGCACATGTAGTCCTTGTCTAAGGTCTCCTGTGAGGATTCAGATGTCTTACCTTATGACTCCTATGCATGTATAGTTCAATCCTTTCCCAAAGCAACAAAAATCCAAGTACCTGTAAAAGCAAATAAGGATAATTTTGACATTACTAAGTTCCTGCCCAAAGTACTCTTCTGTAACTCCAATTCCTAATAGGCACCACATTAGCTTCTTGGGCTACTTTTTAGCCTCTGGGAGCTTGCCATGCGACTCCTCTGCCTAAAGCAGCTCTTCTTCCCCATGCCACTGACCCTGAAGCCAGTTCAAACATCACCTCCTATTTGTAACTTTCACCAGCACTCCTAGGAAAGACTCACCATTATTTCCTCTGGAACTTCATAGCAATTACCACCTTAATGCTCTTCCTGAGTTCCTGCCCATTTGTCTTCCCTGTGAAGACTTCATTCTTGGTGTCACTTGGACTCACTTATAAGAAAATGGAATGCAGAAGCCATCCCTCCAAAGGGTCGTTTAAAAGCTCTTTCTAGGAAAACTGGTACTGATGTTACTGACATTAGCACTGGTATATGTTCAAATAAATCTTGGTGAATTTTAAGTCTAACTCTAGCCAGCCATCAAGTCAGTATGAGCAAAGAAACTGGAGTCATCAGATGTTAGCATATTAATGGCAGGAGAAATGTATAACGTACTTACCTTATATTAAAATGATTCTGCGTACATGATTTTTTTTTACTTGGCTCTATAAAATATCACTTTCTTAAATATTATTCTCATTTAAAAATAAAAAAGGAAACCAAAGCTCAGAAGAGTTGTATGACTTGGCCAAAATTACAAAGTAGTAACTTTTGTTTTGGGTCTTTTTGAGACAGGGTCATCCAGTAACCTCAGCTGGTCTGGAACTCGCTATGTAGACCAGGCTGGCCTCAAACTCACATGAGATCCACCTGCCTCTGCCTCCCAGTGCTGGGATTAAAGGTAGATGCCACCTCACCCATCATAATTTGTTTTCACTGCTGGGAATCCAATCCAGGGTCATACACAAGCATTCTAACCACTGAGCTCCACAATGAACCCTCAGCATAAGTAACCTAATGACAGAGGCAGAACTAGAACCCTCTTCTCCCATTGCTGTTATCACTGCATGAATCCAAAAGAGGAAAGCTGAAGTGGAGAGTTTGTTAAAATGCCTTACTTTCTTGGACACTAGCATTCTCATGAGTTCCTGCTAGCTGTGTGTGAAGGCAATATAAACAGTGCCCAGAATTTGGCCTAGAGCACATACTAGCACATATAGATACATCTACATCTTCCTGACTAAAAAGAAAAAAAAAATCTTAATAGGTCTCTTTGCCTATAGCCACTTTGACACCTCAACTTCCTGGTGCTCTTTTTCAATTCAAACTGTACACTCTGCATTTCTTTCTGCCCCATTTGCTCTTTTTCACTGTATATCTGCACAATATTCACCATTAATAGCCAAGCCACCATTTCTATGTTAGGCTGTCTTGAAATATCCTCTGCCAAAGAAATTAGTCCATTGCTTTTCAACTTAGCCTCAGGCAAGCTCTTAGGCTGTGGGCAGACAGAAGCCAGACTCTGCTAAAATATCCCAGTTGCTGTTTAAATTCTTACTTCCCTCTGGAACTACTTTGCTCTCACCATTACTTTCTTCCAGGCTCCAAATAGAACAGCACATTAAGCTTTGCTTACAGCATTCAACTGCTTTTCTAGACTAAACTTCAAAAGTCTTCCACATTCCTCTAAAAACTCACACGGTCAGGTTTGTCACACCAACACCCCATGATCCTGGTACCAATTTCTGTACTAGTCACTTTTCTGTTGCTGCAATAAAACACTATGACCAAGGGAACTTATAAACGGAAGAATTTACTTAGCTTTCAGTTCCGAAGGGGTAAGAGTCAATCCATCAGGTCAGGGAGTCATGGTGGCAGAGGTGGTTGGAGTAGGAGCAGAAGCTAAGCTCTCACTCTTCAAGCAGGCACAGGAAGCAGGGTTACAGTATAAATTTTTCATGCAACATGGCACTACCATATCAGGCAACAGAGGCAGGATCATACACAAATATTTTTGCTAAAACGTTCTTTGCATCTAGGCTAAGTGGCTAGCACTTGCACAGTAAAATGGGTTTAATTCATTCATAAGGCCCAGAAAGACTGTGGGTGTCTAAATTATAATACTGAGTGATCCAATGGTTCAGATATAAAATGGGGAAATAAAGAAAGGGTGCTCTGCCACCCTTTCAAAGTGCCAAACTGGTTAGACACATCCTCTAAACAGCATATACTTCATTTGCCATCTCTTGTGCATAAAATTCAAGTAGCAGATATAAATTCCAACCCTCTGAATACTAAGGTGAACACAGTTTCTGAGGGCTCCCAACTCCAGTTAAATTCTATACCACAAGCAGGAACAACCCATGAGGCTGCTCAAGAAAGGGGAATGGGGAGCATCACTCACCAATAGCAAAGAAGCATAGGCAGTCAGGATCCCAGCTGTACTCAGCATAATAATAGACCAGAAGAACCAGCGTCCTGTCCCTAGATAAACAACCCTGGAAAGATATTTCAATTCTTAAAATATGGTAGGAATTAGTAATAACACCCACATCAAGGATAGAGACAAGAATAGACTAAACGAGACGTAAGAAAATGGAAGCAAGGGCTGGAGAGGTGGTTCAGTGGTTAAGGGCACTGGCTGCTCTTACAGAGAACCTGGGTTCAGTTCCCAACACCTACATGGTGACTAACAACCATCCCTAGCTACAGTTCCAGGGGATATAATGCCTCCTTCTGGTATCCGTGGGAATTGCACAACATAGGTGTATTTACATACATGCAGACAAAACATACATATAAAATAAAAATAAATAAAACTTTTAGTTTTTAATTTTTAATTTTATTATTTTTATTTTATGTGTATGAACATATTGCCTGTATGTATGTAAGTGCACCCATGTCACACAATGCCACAGAGGTCAGAAAACGGCATCAGATCCCCTGGAACTGGAATTATAGATGGTTGTTAGCCACTATATGGGTGCTGGGAACCAAACCCCGGTCCTCTATGAGAGTAGCCAGTACTCTTAACCACTGAGCCATCTCTCTAGCCCAAAACATTAAAAAAAAGAAAAGAAAAGAAAATGGGGGGTACAAGAAGAAAAGCATTTTGTGAACAGATCTGAGAGAGCTTTAGGCATTTTATTTTCCTTTTTTTTTTTTGAGACAGGGTCTCCCTGTAGCCCCAGCTGTCCTGGAATTCACTATGTAGACGAGGCTGGCCTCACAAAGATCAGCCTGCCTCTGCCTCCCAAGTGCTACCACGCCTGGCTAGGCACTTTTTTTTTTTTTTTTAAACTTTGTCCTACAAGCAATTGGGAGCACTGATGAGACCTCTATAAGTGGAAGGTTGTAAAAAAAAAGTTATTTAGTATATTCAAAATTATATTTTCTTTAATAAACGATATAGAAATTCTGAAATACTGAAACAAAAAGTCATCCCACAAGTTCACTGACCCAATATAACTAACAATTTCTCTTTTGTGTTTTTTTTTCAGGTCTCTCCTCCAGGTGCATGTATACTTTTTTACGTAACTGCAATCATAACCACTATATCAATTGGTCTAATCTGTATGAGAGAGTGAGGCCTTTATAAAAAAAAGTCCTAATTGTTCTAGGGGGCTGGAGAGATGGCTCAGTGGTTAAGAACACTGTTTACTCTTGCAGAAGACCCAGGTTCGAATCCCAGCACCCACATGGCAGCTAACAACTGTCTGTAACTCCATTCCCAGGGGATCTGATGGCCTCTTCTGTCCTCACAGGTATTGCATGACATGGGTGCATTTACCTACATGCAGGCAATACACTCATACACATAAAATAAAAATAATAAATAAAATATTTTTTTAAAGTCCTACTTGTTCTATTCCTAAAGTACTGTATATGAGAAAACTGCTAATGACTTGTTAGGAGAAACAATGTTGCATTTGGTTTACGTATTCTATGTCAAAGTGTTTGTGCTTTTCATTTCTAGAAAAATGAAATTATTTCCCTTGACTCAGAACATGGAAAAATATTTTAAAGAGAGCATAAGTTAGTGCACATATAGATGCATAAAAATAGTAATTCTCTGTAGGTAGGGGTTATAAGGCACACCAAGAAGAAGCAGGCAGGTAGCCTTCATAGCAAGAACAATTACAGAGAAAGATGTTCAGAAGGGAGGGTACTGTGTAGAAAACAAGTTCCCTACTAAGATTCAGAAAACATTAACAGAGGACCTGGGGTTTGGGCTCAGTGGTAAAATATTTGCCCAGCCTATGCAAACCCTGGATTTGACCGTATACCCTTACACCCTCCAAAAGAAAAGGGGAGAGGGAGGGAGGAAGGGAAGGAAGAAGGGAGGGAGGAAGGGGGTAGAGAAAGAGAGAGAAAACCTGTAAGGAAAGTTATTAAAGGGGACCCAAAGAAGGCCCCAAAATAGAAGCTGTGCCCTACAAAACATTATTAATAGATCAGAAAAGATCCAGAAAATAAAGATGACTCAGGGGGTAAAGGCACTTGCCACCAAGTCTAACTACCTGAGTTCAATCCCCAGAACCCACAAGGTGGAAAGAAACAACTGATTGCTATGTCCACATACATAGACACAATCACATAAATAAATGGTTTTTTTTGGAAAGTATAAATAAGAAGATGGCTTGGCAGTTAAGGCATTGGCTGCTCTTGCAGAGGACCCAGGTTCAATTCCTAGCACCCACATGGCAGCTAACAACCTTTGGTAACTCCAGTTCTAGGGAATCCAGGGGATCTGACACCTTCTTCTGACTTCCATGGGCATTGCATGACATGGGTGCACTTACATATATGCAGGCAATACACTCATACATATAAAATTTAAAAAATAATAATAGGAGGCTGGAGAGATGGCTCAGCAGTTAAGAACACTAAATGCTCTTGCAGAGGACCTGGGTTCGATTCCCAGCATCCACATGGCAACTACGAACCATCCTTAACTCCAGTTCCAGGGGAATCTGATGCCCTCTTCTGACCTCCGAGGCATAGCATGACATGGGTGCACTCACATACATGCAGGCAACACACTCATATACATAAAATATAAATAATAATATTTAAAAAAAAATAAAGATCTTTGGAGAAGACGTGGATTCAAAATAGGATGATTTAACAAAAGTATATGTAGTTAGTTAATCAAACAGAACTTGAAAAAAGCTGAAATTTAAAAAATTACAATGATCTTAATAGTGGTTTACATGAAAGATCACTTAAATGGTTTAATCAAGTGGTGATGCTAACTTTGTTTTCCAAGTAATAAAAAAACTTAAGTTTTGATTTAATGGGACCTCTTTTTTCATTTTGATAGCTATATTCGTTATTTTATTCTCTTTCAACCTAAAAAGCTGTCTTTAAGTTATTCAATCTCAGGCCAGAGAGATGGTTCAGCAGTTTTGCGTACTTGCTGCTCTTACAGAGGACCAGAGTTCAGTTCCCAGAACCCATGTGGTAACTCATGATGACCATCTGTGACTCCAGTTCCAGGGTATCCAGCACCCTCTTCTGGCCTCCATGAACACTGCACATATGTACAAACATACAAACGTACAAACACTCACACACATAAAATAAAAATCAATCTTTAAAGATATTCAGTCACATGTAAATATCACTCCTGGTTTGCTGGAGCCCATCCCCTCACCAAATGGAGGATTTTTTTCATCTACCTGCTGTGAACTAGAGGAAGGGAAGAACTGTGCTCTTTCTCTCTCTTTCCCTCTTCTTGTCTCTGTCATCTGTACTCACTTTTCATCATGGTGGTAGTGGGACAAAGGGAAATGAGATTTAGGGTGAGGAGTTTGCTCATGTGACTGCCTATACATATTGGAACCTGAAAAGGGAAGTCTCTCTTCTTGGACATAACTTCTTTAAACTGGGAACATTTAATGCTAATGATTACACAATGGGCTCACTCTACATGATTGGCCCCACTTTAGGCCTCTTCCTACTTAGTATTTTCTAAACCATTTTTTTTCTGCTCTGGACAATTGCATTATATCCCTATATCAGCACAATCATGCTGCCCTTTTAAATATGGGTCTCTTTTTTTTTGAGAACTAGCCACAATCTCTCAGAGATCCACCTGCCTCTAGCTTCCGAGTGCTGAGATTAAAGGCATATGCCACCATGCCTGGCTATAAGTGTTATTTTTTTTAACGTTTATTTATTTTTCAGGAGCTGGAGGGGGCTTGTGCCACAGAGCATGTTTAGGGGTCAGAGAACAACTTGTAGGAGTAGGTTCTCTCCTTCCCCCATGTGGGGATCAAACTCAGGTCATTACCTACTGAGCCATCTTGCCAGCCCCAATAAAAGTCTTCTTAACCAAATAAGCAGCCTTCTTTGTGCAATCTCCTTAATACCACCCTTTCATCTAAACTCCATATTTTCTGCACCAATGTTTAAAGAAATGTTCCAAGACTTTTCCTTTGTTTTCCTACAGGTGCAAAATGTAGCTTTCTTGCATCTTTCCCCAGTTCATATCACAATACTTCATGTCAGCACTGCCAGTTATCAGCTCACAATAATTCTAGATGAGAAAAAAAGACACATTGATGGTGACACATCAGTGTTGAGGGACCCTGCTGCTAAGGCTGTAGTCCTCCATGTCCGGATAGCGCTATATGGAAGGACTCCCTTTCTCAGCAGGGGCCTCCTGCTCTCTGCCTGATTTACCTGGAAAGTGCCGCCAAGCACGGATGCCTGACCTTATTTGGACCATGACCTTTGGCATAGTTACCTGCAATAAAACTTCCCCCAGGTTTTTCTATATGATAATTAGGCATTGCCCCATAGTCGGATGATAGAATCCCCTACCACATGTAAACAAAGCATACTATGAACACCTATCAGCTGAAACTTTGGCTGCTGCCTCCATACTATATTTTCCCTGATCTCTACTGAATAAACGGAGCTGTATCACTGAATCTGACTCCCCGGAAAGTCTTTCCCATCATGCTCACTGGCCATCCTGACCCCATTCGTCACTTCTGCTCCCTTTGTCCTCATGGATTGGCGGCCAACGGCCCTCGAGGGGAGGGAGAAACCCACACATCAGGAATTTTCACATAAGAAAGAGTCTAACTCCACAATGCACAGGGGAAATAAACAAGTGAAAGTTACCTAGTGCCTTAGTTTGCTTTTCTACTGCTGTGTCAAAATACTGACCAATACCAACTTGGGGAGGAAAGGATTAATTTCACCTTCAGCTTACATCACAGTCCTTTATCAGGGGAAGCCAAGGCAAAAGCTCAGAGCAGGAGCTGGAGCACAGACCATGGAGAGAGCTGCTTACTGGCTTTTTCCTCTGGCCTGTTCTCAACCTGCTTTCTTTTTTAAAAGTATTTTATTTTTTATTTTTATTTTATGTGTATGAGTGTATTGCCTGCACATAGGTAAGTGCACCTGTATCGTGCAATACCTGTGGAGGACAGAAGAGGCTGTCAGATCGCCCTGAACTGGAGTTATAAACAGTTGTTAGCTGCCA